TATATATATATATATATATATACACACACACACACACACACACACACACACACACACACTGTTTAGCTAGCGAGGATAAACGGCTAAGAGAATGGATAGATGGAATACCTAATAAAAGATTTCAGCCTATCAATGAAATACAAGGTGCTTTATTAACCAATCCACCCAACACAGAACAGGCGCAGAAGACATTTTTAAAACAGGAGCAGTCACACTCATACAAAGTCAGTTGTCATCTTAATAGAACTTATTTTCCCCCAGAAAAAGCAGAACCGTTGAGATCAGCGTTTACTGAGGTCATGTGTTCATTCCACGAGACAACGCTATGGCTGTTCTCTCGTCAGATTCATTCGGCGCTCCAGCTTCTCAACCACTTTCTGCAGAAGACCGACATCCAAGTGGAAGCAGACGTAGAGCTCCCTCTCGCGTCTGAGGAGGGAATTATGTTCCAATTGGGAGCGCTTCGTCTTGACCTTGCCTGTGATTTCTTGGATGGCTTTTTGGAAACGCTGCAGCAATGATTCGGCTTCTTTGAGTTTTTCCATCAACTCCTGCGGACAGAGGATGGGAAATACGTTACGCAATCAGAGTTCATAGGTCAGCTTTAAAGGCTCCAAACCCCGGAGCTGCCGATTTAGCCTCCCTTGAGATCAAGGTCAGCGAAGGCTCTATTGTCAGATGTCTCGAAGATTTTCCTGAGTGATTATCCCGCGGGGTAGTTGTTTGTTAGGAGTGATTTTTCCTGTCAGATCTGCTTGAAAAATAGTTCAATGGTAAATGGAGTACACACATACTGATAATCAGGTCTGAATTGATTCAAGTCAGCACAAGTCTGATTGTCGGATGGCTCTGAACAATTCTCCTGAGCGACTATAGACTGTGTTAAGAGTGCCTGCCGCCCCCACCTCATCTGCTCAGAAAACACCTTTCTCTGACAATCGTCCTTCAATATTCATGACGCAGGATTTAAGACTACAAATCCCTATACGCGTGGTCAACAGCAGTCCGGATCCCCTGTGGTACTCTCACAGGTCAGTACACTGCACACTGTAAGAGCAGTAAGACACAGGGATTTTGTTTTCCCCCTTGCCAAGTGTGGGGTTTTTGACACTATAAAATTGAGATGTTTGGCGGGGGTGGGGGATCGGTATGTGCGTACCCCTCTTGTGGTTCGACTGGACATAATTTTTGGGACAGACAGTGACAGACTGAGGCTCAAAAGAAGAAACGTACTGTGCCACCAGCTTCCCACACCAACAGTCAGTTATAAATCAAACTCACGTTAGGGATTTCCTCGGAAAAGTATTGCTTTTTGTCAGCAAGGAGGAGATCGTACGCGACATAAAATGAAACCAACCCACCTGTGCATTGGGACACAGCAGCTCCTGGTCAGCACTGGCTGCAGGACATACCTGTGGCCTTAAGACCAGCTCCTGGAACTCTGCGGACACGGCCCTGTGAAGGGCCTCGCAGTGGCCTTGGAGTTGAGCCATCCTGAAGTACTGGTCCCTGCAGGCCGCTGCCAGCGCTGCACGGGACGCCTGGAGGTTGTTGGCCAGGCCGCGAGCAGCCTGGTCCAGTGCCTCATATGTCTGAAAAGGCTCTCCTCTCCCTTGGGAGGAATCCTGGTCGAGGATCTGCAGGAGCCTGGAGGAAAAGCGTGGAGGAACAAGTGAGAAAACAGTGTTGTCGTGCCGCGTCGGTGAGGTTGATAAAATTACAGAAGCACTTCTGTAAATGTGTTCTTCAAGCAAACGACTGTGGAGCCCAAGGTAGCCGAGGAATATTATTTGGTGAAACATTGTGCTTTGTCAACAAATCTGGGCGTTCCAGTATGATGGCATTGAAAAGTTTCATTTATACAAAAATGGTGCTTTGCTGTCATCTTGTGGCAACTATAGACAATTATAAAGATTATTATTATTAAAACCTTAAATTAAAACCTTATTCAATTACAAATAACAAATAATATAGAGCTGTGACCCAGACAGGACAATATTTTTATAATCCTGCTGATTGTTGAATGACACCGTGCAACACCTCTGCAACATGTAAAGCTTGAAATAGCTGAATGCCTGCAAAGGCTAACAGGAACGTTTAAAATGGCGTCAAGATAGATTGTGTGGAAGCGATGCTAGTTAACGGAGATATGAGTTGCATCCCACGTGAATGGATTTGGTCGACTCTTACCTGCGGGATGCGGCATCCGTGTTGGTGATGATCGGGTTGGGCCTCATGTTTAATGCCAACTCGGGATGTGCCAGAGCCTCAAATCTGAGGGACGTGACTTTGCGTTCCTTGACAAGCCTGGTGTTGACGTTCGTGAGGTGGTTCAGGCACACTCCCCACTTCCTCAACTCAATCTGCTGAGCCAAGTGGAGGATGTCGAAGGAGGCCTTTTGGCGGAGGAGATTATCGCGTACCTGGTGGGAAAATTAGATTTCAATTTTATTGTTACAATTTCTTTTTGATATTGTCAGTGGTACATTGCAGCGTAACTAAAGATAAAGCGATGGTTGCAAGATATGTATTTTTAAAAATGAGCCTATGTATCACTGAGTCAAAAGAATTAAAAAATGGCTCGTAGGAAAGGAGTAATACTTCCATTGATGGGTAGCGAAACAGCAACATATATGCCAGCATCCTTCATATTAATGTTTGGTATTTCCTCTCGTACTTTTTCAGACTACATATTACAAACACAAGAGGTCAATTGTGTGAACAAACCTCATCCAGTTTGGTCGTGAGATAGTCCTGTCTGGCCAGTTGCAGGGCCAGGACTCTCTTTACTACTGGCACATAGAGCAGCCTGGTGGATTCCCAAACGTCAAGGGGCACGGGTCCATGGAGAAGACCTTCGATCTCCGCCTCCGCGGCTTGCAATTCTTTCCTAGAGGCCACCTCGCGCATGTGAAGTGAGGCTGAGTCAGCAATGCTCTGGTGGGATAAAAAGGTCAACAAAAGAGGTGATCCCGATTCACCGAATTGTCCAAAACCTTCTTGTCGTGGTGTTCTGCGTTTACCTTGACACTCGAGGACTTCTCAGAAAGCCAGTCAAGCCCGGCCTTGACACTTTTCTCATCTGCGGTAGCTCGCATCAGCTGGTGCTGAGCCATAATGTGCGCAAGCCGAAGTCTGGCCAGTTGGTCCACCTCATTCTTTTCCCCGTCCTCTTCTTCCTCTTTACCTTCCCGAGAACTGAGGTCCAACACCTGGAAGTGTTCTGAGCAAGAGGTCTCAACAAGGTCCGTAAAGAAGTGCTTCCGAGTGAAAGCGGAGAGCGTTTTAGTGTTCAGCTCCTCTTGGCGCAGATACAGATTCAGAGAGAGCTGAGAAAGAAGAGGCTTGTGCTTTCTGCCGGCAGAGGAGTGCACGGCTTCCGGCTGAACTGAGAGGTGTGATGCCAGCTCGCCCACCTTGTCCGCGAGAACTTGAAGTTCAGCGTTAGTATTGGCGTTCTCGCCTCCGAGAAAAGCGTTAGCCTCCGTTAGCTGGGACGCAGCGCTCTCCAATTCGGCGACAAGTCGGAGGTGGACGTCTGCGCGAGAAGCAGCCAAAGCCTGCAGCCTCTTGCAGTGCTGTCGCTTCCGTGCTTTCTCCTTAATCAGTGCCTGGAGCTCTGCTTCTAAATTTTCTACGGTCACATCATCCTCAGCTGCATTGCTCTCTTGGGATGGTCCGATGGTTTTAAGGACCTTGACCAAGGCTGCTTCGTCCAGGATGGGCGTGCCAGACTTCTGGAGCTCCTGATAACCCTGCACTTCCTCTGTGGTCAAAACATTGCTCCGGTTCAGGCTTCGACAGACAAAACACAACAAACGAATGTTTTCCTGGGAACTATTAAAAAGCCAGTCGAAGTCCGAGGCTTCCAGGGAGGATGCGGCGGAATAGCCCAATCGAGCCATGGCCTCCACAAACTGCCCACCGTTTAACATGGCGCTTGTGTTGTTGTTGTTTCACAGATGGATGAGATGTTCCTGAGAACAAGGATGTTACAAGCCTCGTTAACTCCAGTGCGACACGTCAGTTCTTATCTAGCTGAAGCCATCTTATTTTGGTTGGTCCAAAAGTGTCAACATACGTACAGATCACTGGCAACCACCGCGCAAGCGATTTCGAATAGACACAAGAGGTGCCGATTCAGTAAAAACAAGCCACGCGTGATGACACTGTAATACGGCAAGCAACATTCAGTGCTCCTGGCGGTAACGTCAAAGGCACGCCGTTTTGCCCGTGACAAGCGTTAAATGTCAGTCAAACACTACTCACAATTTGGGCCACTGACGCAGGTTAGCAAGGAGCCTCTTGAAACGCGCGCCTAAAACATATACGTCATCAACAGGGGACGTCGTCAATGGTATGACGCTAGCATACTGCTCGACCAATTGCGTTGCGACCTAAAAAATGTAGTTTCCGCCCATGTTTCGCTCCCTTCCTCCCCCTTCCTCCTACTGCCTCAAATAGAGTTCGCCACACTCCCAAACTCAGATTTACCGCTACCCTCCCGCTACAGCCCACAATAACTGGTAAGGAAAAAAGCTAATCTGAAAGGTTTCACTCCTTTCTGACTTTTTGGCGTAATTTTATGAGCAACCTGCTCAATCGCATTTTTTTTTTTTACAGCTTGAAAGGCACCCGCTAATCATCTCTCACATGGTGGTAGTTGTTGTTGTTGTTGTTGTTGTTATTGTTTTAAAAATCCATCTGAAACCAATAAAGCAACAGTGCATTCCAGATTGTAGAACAGTTGTTCAAATATTGGATATCAAGTACATTGCATGAATTTAACCCACGGGTGTGCAGACTTGTGGTCTCTTGGGCCACATGGGACGTTTCAGCGGACAGACGGGCTAGGTCATTCGTAAATGAGGACAAAATAATTAAGTAAAATACAAGTTTAAAAGTGTTTGTAAAATCGCTTTTATAGTAAAATAAAAATCATTTTTCAATATGACAATATTTTTGTATAATCAATTGCAAATGTCCCCAGAGTGGGATTAATAAAGGTTAAATTAATTTATTTAATACAATGAAAACCAAAATGGTCGGTTTTCTAATTTTTCTCCTTCATGAAAATTGTTTATCTTGATAAAATGATATATTTTCAAAAATTCCATATCATGAATTTAATTATACAGTTAATTAAATAAAAATGTAATTTTACGTGAGCAGTTTATCAAAAAAAATCCTCAAATAAACCAAATATCGAATTGAATAAAACATTTGAATGTTTCAATGCAGTTTAAAAAATGTGCCGTTCCATCCTATTTTTGGCATGACATGATAAGATGTTCCTTAACACTACTGCGGGTCCACCCGGTCTTCCTCCAAGGTGCCGACCCAAACGTCAAGCCATGGTCCGAGCTCAGACGTGGATTCTGGCCAAACATTTCAATGGCTTCCCCAAGGAAAGCGACTTCCAGCTCAAAGAGGAGGAACTCCCTGAGCCTAAAGCTGGAGGTTCGACCTTTTTTTTTTTTTTTTGGGATGTTTGCCGTGTTGACGTCTTATTGATGTTTTTGTTCTTTGTTTCAGAGGTGCTTTTGGAGGCGTTGTTTCTCAGTGTTGACCCTTACATGAGGTCGGTGAAAATAAGTCAGCTAATCCTCTCTGAAAAGTCTTCAGTTTGTTTCAAAATGTTGAAGCTCGTTTGGGTTCATTTTAATTTGAGTCTTTTTGTCATTTTTAAATCTCTAAATCTGACAGTTTATTGTACTACAGATTAATTTAATAATTGGGAAGCGGACCATCCAAACATCATCGCATATGAAATCACAGTTGCAATGTTGGGAGGTCGGGGAGTTAAACAAATAAGGGGAAAAAAAATCTAAATTTTTTTAAAAATCGTTGCGGCCTATTTTTAAAGTGCTTGATAAGCATGGCCAAATGTAATAACGTGGCTTCCTGTCTCCTTAGGCCATTTAGCCGCGTTCGCATGAAAGAAGGAGATGTGATGATCGGAACTCAAGTGGCCAAGTAAGGAGGAGGAGAGGACATCTTGCACATATGGCTGACAGCAGACGCCAAGAAACAAACAAGCTGACTCACTGGGATGGAATTGGAATGTTTTGGATTAGTCACTCACTCGATTTTTCCAGAGAACTTCAAAGTTCTGCTGGCTTTGTTGTTCTGTAGGGTGGTCCAGAGCAGGAACGCAGCATTTCCCGTTGGGGCCCACGTTGTCAGCCGCGGCGGATGGAGAACACACACCGTGTCAGACGGGTCCGACCTCGTCCCCGTCATGCCCGACTGGCCTCGGGACGTTTCGTTGTCCTTGGCTCTGGGCACTGTCGGCATGCCTGGGTAAGGATGCTGTGAAGTTATTACTGTCAAGTTGTTCTCAAACATCCTACAACAATTACAATGTAAAAAAAAAAAAACCTCAATAATCATTCTACGGTAACATATTGCACAATGAAGTTGAAATCTAGTCTTAACATACCCGCAAAAGCACAGGTGGCGTTAGATTAGGCCTCTTTGAGATGACTTGAGCTAGGCCGTTATTGTATGTTGTACGTGACTATTCTCCTGGCTCTGCATCTTCGTACACTTAACAACTTAACTGTTGAAACTCGTTAAGACCGTGGAGTCACACACAGAAAGGTACCAACAAATTGTTGCGCTCCGATGTGGGCGTGGCGAAGGCAGTATCAGAATACAGATTGTTTTAGGAGAGGGCAGACCTTCTTCCGCATCTAGCAAAAAAAAAAAAAAGGGCTCCTGGGCCATGTCTCTGATCTTTCTGGCATCTGCGAAATAGTTCAACTGAGGATATACAGTCCTCTGTAATTAACGAGCAGTCAAGCCACAAGGACCCGTATAACAACTGGTGCCGTGACCCAGATTCTTACCAATCGCAAGTCCCGGATGTCACCAGGCTGACGGCTCTATACGGAATCGAGGAAGTCCTGGAGCTGAAATCGGGCGAGACTCTGCTGGTGAATGCGGCAGCTGGGGCGGTGGGCTCGGTGGCGGGGCAGATGGCCAAAATGAAGGGCTGCAGAGTGGTGGGCTCGGCGGGGTCCGATGCCAAGGTGGCCTTCCTCAAAGAGTTGGGCTTCGACGAGGCCTTCAACTACAAAACCGTCGCCTCCCTGGAGGAGGCTCTGAAGAAAGCCGCTCCCGACGGATACGACTGCTTTTTTGAAAACGTGAGCGAATCCCGATGAGAACTGTCCAAATCCTTCCTGGACTTATTTTTGATTCCTCATCAGGTTGGAGGCCCTTTCTCGAGCGTTGCCATGTCACAGATGAAAGATTTCGGAAGAATAGCCGTGTGTGGAAGTATATCCACATACAATGACACTGAGGTTCAGACAGGTAGGTACTGCCCGGCTAGTATAAACCCAACCAATTTCACGGGAAGTCGGGACCTCGTGTTAAAAATGAATCAAATCCGAATACCATTTCCAAATCATGTTCAAAGCAAGGACGTGTGTGTGTGTGTGTTGTCAAGGACATCACCACATGGGCTCCGTAACACTTGAGAAACCCAATGTCAGTCAATACAGTTCGGCGGTAAATCCATAAGCACAACTTCAAACTCTACTCTGCAAAGCAAAAGCCATTTATCAACAACAGCCGGAAATGCCGACGGCTTCTCTGCGCCCGAGCTCATCAAAGATGGGCTGATCTAATGTGGAAAAGTGTTCTGTGGTCTGATGAGTCCACGTCTCACTTTCTTTTTGGAAATTGTGGACGTCGTGTCCGCCAGACCAAAGAGGTAAAAAAAAAATCATCTGGACTGTTACGGGGCCAAGCATCTATGATGGTATGGGGCTGTATTCGTGCCAATGGCATGGGTAACTCACACATTTGTGAAGGCACCATTTGGGCAGAAAGGTACATCAAAATTTTGGAGAAACATATGCTGCTATCCAAGCAACGTCTTTTTCCTGGATGCCCCTGCTTATTTCAGCAAGACAATGCCAAAGCAAATTCCGCATGTTACAACAGCGTAAGTTCATTGGAGTAAAAGACTACTCAACTGGCCTGCCTGCAGTCCAGACCTGTCTCCCATTGAACATGTGTGGCGCATTCTGAAGCATAAAATAGGACAACGGAGACCCCAGATTCTTGAACAGCTGAAGTTGTACATCGAGCAAGAAGGGGAAAGAATCCCACTGACAAAGCTTCGACAATTGGTGTCTTCAGTTCCTAAATGTTGGTGATGTAACACAGTGGGAAACATGACCCTGTCCCAGCTTTTTTGGAACGTGTTGCAGCCATAAAATTCTAAATGAATGAGTTTTTGCGAAAATTAATCAAGTTGATCAGTTTGAACATGAAATATCATGTAAATCATTGCATTCGGTTTTTAATTTGTTCAACACACTGCCACAACTTCAATGGACCTGGGTTTGATTTTTAATTCGAGGAAAAACTGAATATTTTGCATGTGGCATGTCACTCCTTTGCAGTTTTTTGTCAGTAGGGGGCGACATTGTGGTTCTGACAAACTAAGGCGGAGGTGGGCAAACTTTAGGTTTTAAATTGTTCATTAAAACCCAGGTCATTCATAGATGAGCTAAAGTTAAAAATGTGTGGAGTATTTTGTAATTCTGATTTTAATTGTAAAATTCATATGGCAATTTCTACTTTTATTTATTGGAACAAAAAGGAATGGCAAATATTACCAGACAAAATTATTGGGAATCAAAAGTTAAAATGTGCATGTGAAATTATTTTGAATAAAATTAACAGTTAGTTGGTTATCAGAGGTTTGTTTCAGTTTTTTTCAAGAGAGTGTGGGGTTGAAATAAAAGTGATTGTTTTTTTTTTTTCCTTTTTCTTTTTTTCAATGCATTTGGAATGGGGGTCAATCAATTACGTATTTTTGACCTTTGGTGGAGTAGAGGGACTGGGCCAGCCCACGAATAATCAAAAATGGAGTATAATTGACTCCCATTCTGAATGCATTGAAAAGGGAAACAACATTTTTTTAAACCTTTTTAAAATTCTTTACAAAAAAAGTGGATAAATCCCTGCTCTCAGGTGCCATTTCCAGCGTTGCATTTGTCATTCCCACAGGCCCTTATCCTCAAATGACCATGATCGTTAAGCAGCTCAAGATGGAGGGCTTCATGCAAAGCAGATGGGAGCCAAAGCACCCGGAGTCCCTCAGGAGGCTCATGGGCTGGCTGAAAGAGGTTTGTCGCTGACAAACACGTCGTCATTCCATTTCCTGCCGGTGTTCCTTGCCTGGAAATAAGGACTGGCTTTTGTTTGCGTCTCACAGGGTAAACTGCAGAGCCGCGAGCACATCACCAAAGGCTTTGAAAACATGCCGGCGGCTTTCATGGGCATGCTGCGAGGAGAAAACACTGGCAAAGCTATCGTGGAAGTCTAATGTGAAATCCAGGAAGATTACTGGGGAGGGATCGACACTTTCGAAACACGCCTAAATGACAACGCATTTATTTTTTGCAGGACATATTTTCAAATGGGTTGAAAATGTTCAAACTAAGAAGTCACGTGTCCGTTTTCACCGTCTCCGCACAATACTACGATGATGCAATTGGCAGCAATTATACATGATGTCACAAGCTTGGCACACCTACAGCGGAAATAAAAAGTCTACTACACACCAAGATTGTTGTCCAGATGCCAGGTTTTTGCCATATGAAAAAAATGAGACCTAGTCAAATCATTTCAGGTTTTTCCACCATTGTGAGGGATCACGCTGTTCAAAGGTATCAGTTCAAAGAAAAGTCTAAAAAATAATCTCCAGAGGAAACAAAACAATGAAGACAGTCAACAGGAAGTGGAGAAACAATGGCACAACCGTGACATGACAAACACCTGGATATCTCTCCAAATTTGAAATTGATGGAAAGAGAATAAAAATGGTCAGGTAGGCTGCCAGGACGCAAACATTAAAGCAGCTGGAAGAATTCCAAAAACACACATGAAATCTTGTCAACACGGGAGAAACTATATTCTAGTCTGACGAGACCCAATAACTTTTTTGTCCATACATCCAAAAGGTATTTTTGGCCCAAACACAATACTATCCTACCCCCCCCCCCCACACACACACACACACACAATCATTGTTTTACTGCGACAGTCTTTTCTCAATTTTCTTACTTGATAAATAAAGGCTGCGATTGGCTGGCAACCAGTTCAGAGTGTCCCCCGCCTACTGCCCAAAGACGGCTGGGCTCGGCTCCAGCACGCCCCGCGATCCTTGTAAGGATCAAGAGGATCAGAAAATGGATCGATGGATAAATAAAGGTTAAACAAAAGAATATACCACAGATTATAACCATCATGATTAAAGGCTTCCTGCTAAAGTTGACCGTTGTCGTGTTGCCCCATCATTTAAGCCTGATTTTGAATCTCAACGGGCGGGGATGAAAATCTCATCCCTCTGGTTACCAAAGATGCGTTATTATCGTTAAGTGAACCACTTGATGGTTGTGTGGTTGTTCGGGCAACAGTGATGTGTGTGAAGCCGTCCTCTCAAGGACCGGAAAATCAAATGTGATTTGTTCTGAAATACTGTACTACACAATAAAATGTTGGACTTACACAAACTTAAATGATTCATAAAAATACTGAAAATATAAGAGCAATACTATTGAGTGAATTTGGTTGACATGACACGAAAAGATAAAAACATGACATTTTTTGCTTCTGTTGTAAACACGCAAACACACACACACACACACACATACACACACACACACGCACACACACACACACACACACACACACACACACACACAAACACACAAACAAACACATTCATTTCACTCCAAAAGTAGTAGTTTTCTAATTTCCAAATGCCAATTTTTGCAGAAAAAAAATTAAGATAGATTGAAAAAAAGTAATCGAATGTTGTCTCAACCTACTTAAAAAAAAAGACAACCAGTACGCTTGATTAAAATGCTCTGTACGTATACTGTACTGCAATGACGGAGGGTTATAATTAACTACAGTATTTGTACTTACCGAAGGACTACTTGACTTTTATTATGGAAGGTAAGACGACTTCCTCTTGTGGCCCGTGTTGAGCTTGACGCAGGGAGGAGTGTGTGTGGCAATGAAACCGCGGTGCCTGCGCGGAAACTGACTCATTTTCCATTTCGGCGTCAAGTGTTTTGCACAACCCCGGTGCGTTTTCCCACCAACCGTCACCATGGTTGTAGTCAGCATTGAAAGCACGGTAAGTTTGCTTTTCTTCAATGTGTTTGGAACGCTTTCGCTTGCTCAACTAATATAGCGTATTTGGCATGTCTCCACCATTGATGCCACCCTCTGGAACAGTTCCTGTAATGTGTGGACATTGCTGTCACGTAACTACGGGAGGAATAGTTCGGATCTCGAATTGACGCAATTACACAAAGTAATGGTTAGAACTACACAAAAGGCTCGGGGTAGGTCATTAATAATTAAAAAAACACTTAAGGGAGCTACTAAGGGAGCTAACTCTTGGGGTGGGGGGTGCATTGGAGTAACTCGAGCGCACTGGGGCCGGGCCGAGCTAAAGCTAACGGTAATGCTAATGCTAACGTCACGGCACACAGGTGTCATCACGCCAACATTTCCGGACACACGCGGAGTCTCAATCCAATCAAGTCAACGACGACAATGAAGGGTAGTTTGGAGTGTATCGGACCCGTGAAAGGGAATATTTCATTTCAAGAAAATGTTGACCCGCTGAGGCGGGAAAACCGAGTACTATTACTGTAATTCGCCCCTAAAAGAACTTGATTAGTCGACAATATCCTGGCAAATATGTAATTGAAATGTCATTCTTGTTTTTTTTTTCCCTCAAAACTCACCGTATCTGAACTTAAAAGTTCGTCTCGCTCGAGTGCTTGTTTCTGACCTATTTGAATTTATTCGAAGGTGTCATCAAAACGATGACAAATTACCTCAAAATGGAGATCGAACCTGGCGGTCACCTCATACTGACGTCATGCTGCGTTCGGGGTCGGCGGGACAAATGGGTCAATCCAAAATAAATTAGTTCCGAGGCAAAGTCTTTCAGCTATTTTATTTTATTTTTCAAGGTAATGATGTGAAATGAGTTTTCAAGCACAGCAGAAATGTTTTGGGGTGGTCACAGCTATGTTAATCCTGCAACTATACCCCATTTGTGATTTCTAGGAAGAGTTTGATGGTTACCTGAAGAACAGTGGAGACAAGCTCATTGTGGTGGACTTCACAGCCGTGTGGTGTGGCCCTTGTAAAACCATGGCCCCAATTTTTGAAGTGAGTTGATGATGGCGCCTGCCTGATTTTTGATCAAGTTGCACTATCTTCTGTTCAAAGTTGGGCGAAGAGATAACAAATACAAAAGCTCACGCGTTTGATTTTCTTGCAGGAATTGTCCAATAACGCGGCTTACGCGGATGTGATTTTCCTTAAAGTCGACGTGGATAAGTGTGAGGTATGCTAACTATTGCTTAGAAAATGGTGTGGATGTAGAAATGTCAACCATTTGAAGTGCTACGACATTCTCTGCCAACCGTTGTAGCTCTGTTAATGTAAAAGTGATGAATTGTCCCAAGGTCAAGGTTTTCGTCATTTCCAATTTGAGCTGTAAGCACCTTTGGCCAATTGAAAACCATCTTTTATCAATTTTTGGGTAATGCAAGCAATTCTTATGTAGTCTTACTCAAGGCCCGACCGATATGGAATCTATTTTTTAGGTCAATGCCAATTTTTGCAGAAAAAAAGTTAAGAATGATTGGAAAAAAAAGCATAATGCATTAAAAAAATTCTCCCCAATGCATATCAGTGGACATCAATCATACGTGAGATTTTGCTATTCGCAGGCCGACTTGATGCACATTCTCTATGAATAGGGTGGATCACTTGTCAATATAATGTTGAAAACATTTTCTCCTGTACATGCCAAAGTATAATTTTTCTTCAAAATTACAGTTGCAAAAAAAAAATGTGGTCCCTTGTTGTGACTTTGATGATCAGAACACATTTTATGACCAATTTATGCAGAAATCCAGGTCATTCCAAATGGTTCATTTTTCTTGCAACCATACATGAAATTGATGGCATTTAAATTTTCTTTTTCCCATTTGTTCATAAAATACACATTGAAGGGTAAAAAAATTCAATGAATGGATATTTTGTACCATATTTTCAATGTTGTAGATTCAACTGGTGATAGTCGCACCTTGACTCACTTCTTCCCCTTGTGCGTTTCAGGAAGTGAGCACCAAATCTGGTGTCCAATGCATGCCCACATTCCACTTTTACAGGAATGGAAGTCGGGTAAGGAGAACATTTTTATGTTGTCAAAAGCTGTTGTCTTTTTTTCAATTCTCTAATTTGTCCTTTTTCCTTTGGATTTTTACAGGTAGATTACTTCTCTGGGGCCAATCAAGCAACACTAAAGAAAAAGTTAGCAGAACTGACCAGCGCGTAGGTTCGCTGAAACACTTGCTAAGAACTGTTTTTCTGTGTGTGGTGTTTCCATCCTGGCGGATTGAATAAATGATATCTTGGGACCCTTCATACTTGTCGTCCTGAATGCTTCCATACCGTCCAACCCACCTAATTAATGTGTCAAAAGCATGTCAGTCATGAACAGACATTTCTGCTTTAATTAAAAAAAGAAAAACACAAACATTAGTTTACATACACTGGACAAACACATCCATTTTTACAAGAATATAGCAGCATATGTTCCATACTGTTGTTTCTTTATATGAAAAAATACAGCTTTATTTTACAAATTGTTTCTTGCTTTGCTGGAGATGCTTTGTGAATAAGTCCTCTCCAAACGGGGGCCGGGTGGAACGTTTAGAAGTGATAGTATCCTGACCTCCTTTTCCTGTGACGACAAAGGGAAATATTTTAGGGTCACGGTGCAAGCAAAAACAAGACATTAAAAATGCACTACCCACGTCAAGTTTGAGATAACGGGCCTTTGGGTGAAATGTGATTTTCATTTTTGATCCATAAAAGGAGCAATATGGAGTTCCCGGTTCAATCACTAACTTCTTGTGAGTAGCGTCCACGTTGAAAAGGGGTTACCTGGAGCAGTCGTGTCCACTCCAACCCGGACTACAGCGACACCTGTTTGGCCTGATGCATCTGCCTCCATTCAGACAAGGTGACGAACACACAGCTGGAAAAGGCACAAGAGATCAATCCAAAAGGGCGAACATCAGCGACCTCCCGCAGACGACGATCACTCACCGCTGTGGCAGCGGGTGCCCGTCCAACCGGTGGGACAGTCGCACTGGTATGGAGCCACGCAGCGGCCTCCGTTCAAACACGGCAGGATGCAGATGGCTGTTCCATGAAGGAGACGCGAGAATCTTGTTTTACAACACGGCCGAAAAAGAATCTGTTTTGATTGATTTTTTTTTTTTCCCTCGATACTGCGATTTGATATGCACCATTTTTTCCCCCAGGGTTTATGGCATTGAAAGACAAAATAACTCGACCCAGTCATTCGTGTCGAAAGCGGTGGCAACAAAGGTGAGGACACATCCAAATGGAACTTTCCAAATTAGGCCATTTCCCTCCCCCGCTGTCCTAAGTCTCATTTGTGTCACAAGTGGGATGGACTTCTAGTTACTGCGCACTACAGCCATCTTACGTTTGCAAATTTGTGCTGTAATTGTGTTGCTTTGGTGGGAAGCAACAAGTAGAAATACTTTGTTACTGTACTTTACTGATATTTATTTGGGGGGTTTTGGCGCATTAAACAGATATACCCAGTGCATTTGAAGCCCCATTTTATATAGTTGATGAGTTATTATCCGTTTTATTTATTTTTTAGCAGTGTGAGTACTTTTGCCAAATTGGCCTTGTCACAAATGACTCAGCTACTCACGCTCCTCGCAGAGTCGGCCCATCCATCCCTCAGGGCAAGCGCAGGTGTTGGGCCGTTGACACATACCACCGTTCTGGCAGGGCAGCCAACACACAGCTGAGACACACGCACACGCACACGCACGCACACACACACACACACACACACACACACAGGCACACACACACTGTTGAGGAAATAATGCATGTGGAGGAAATAATGCATGTGTGAAAGCAACTTGCTTTTGTACTACTGCCACAAAAACATGTTGAGAATGTTGTTTTTCCTCTTTCATAGCTTCACTAAATGATTCATTCTTGCGAAATTTCAAAGGCATGTTGACAGGAATGACGCCTACTCCTACATTACAGTACAGTGAACCCTCACCATATTGCAATTTGGTGTTTTGTTTGTTTTTTTTTTTTTTTTGCATTGTTTTTTTCTTAGAGCCGAATTTAGAGTCGCACACCTTCAGTGTAACACCGCGGAAGAATAAATCTGATATGATTACCATACAGATTATTGTTAATTTATTGCCTGAGTTTGTCAACAAATACAGAAAAGAATCTTGGGAAAAAAACTGTAATTGCAGAGTGAAGTTAAATCGCAATATTGGTGGTGGTGGTGGGGGGTGCGAATAAAAGGCCAAGTCAACCCCAAAATGTTCTCTACATTAATATCTTCTATGCCTCCTCACTAGTCTAAACATGGCATTCTGGTGAATATTGTGTTTGTAGAATATGGGGTAAGTTAAGCAGTAAAATCCACCTGTGTGTGTCCATCTCAGGAGGCGGCCATTTTTGCGAGGAGCTGTCGACAATGACATCACAGTTTCCCATGCCTCAGCTTCAGAAAACAGATGAGCCATGATTGTTTGTTACCTGAGCAACTGTGGTGTCACATTCAGTTGACAGCACGTGGCAAAATGGCCACCCCCTGAGTTGGACACATTCAGGTGGATTTTACCACTTAACTCGTATTCCACAAACGCAATATTCATCACAATGCGCGGTTAAAATTATGGGAACATATTATTGGTGATTTTGTTGAATTTTTTTTTTTTTTTTTTTTTTGGTGGCTCCATTATGAGGTTGTATGATGACCGTTAACAGATATGCTAATTTGAGTAACCCATCGATGGAGTTTCACATGATAAGTTAGCATTGAGCTAACGGATATTTGTTTGACGAAATGAACCTTTTGGTGCTAAAATATATAATGTTTGATTCTTTTTTTTTTTGTTGTTTCTTCCTTATGTCAGTTTACAGTTTACATTTCAACTGGTGCCAAATAAAGATCTTGAGCGAAGCACTCTTTGCAGCATCGTTTCCCATTTCTTAACAGCAAGAAGACAAGATCAAAAAGGCTTTTCACGAGGAAGTGATGAAACCACCCCCCACAAAAGTTTGTTTCAGACTCTCTATTTTGGATTTTCACCTATTGCGGGTGGGTCTGGAACACATGCCCCGTGATGAACCGGGGTTCACTGTACATGCAGCTCAGAGAAAATGACAGAGGACAGAGACGTGCGTCAAGTTGCAAGGGGAGCACGAGCAAAGGGAAATGGACGTGACGTGGCCATTAAACCGGGCAGGATGGGGCGCCCAATCCCCCAACCGCCCCGTGTGGAGCTCTCTACCTCTGCACGTGGGAGGCGGCGTCCAGCTGCCGTTCTCCAAACACCGGCTCCTTCCGACGCCCTCCATGGCGTAGCCGGCAAAACACGAGTATGAGGCCACGTCCCCGAACTGGAAGACTGCCCCCCGCACCAACCCGTGGGCCACGTGGAGGGGGGGGCCACAGGAGACCCCTGAACAACAGCCCACATGGAACGACCCGCCAGTTACTCACGCAGTCGAGAAATGTTTTCTAAAGACCGCCTCGTGACCATCTGTAAATATATATATATATATATATA